TACACAATATAAAAAAAAAAAAACATGAGCAGTAATAATGTGCTAGCTAAACTGTCTAGTCAATGGACTGCCAAAATCTGCAGTTACTTAAGTGGATTGATATATTGATTATAAAATTATTAATTATTTCTACTGAAACATTAATTATATTTTCTGTACACTTTGTTTAAATTTTTCAGTATTTTTCTTCATTTGTGCAGGAAATTTCGAGAAAATAGGTCCGCAGAATCGCATTAACACTGCAAATGCCTATACATTGGTTACAATAGCCACCGGCCGACTTTACTGCAACATATGCGCGGAAATTGGCAGACTTATTTTTAATATGCGTGGATGGAATTTTTTCTTATGAGATAACTCTAAATCATTTTACACATAATAATTTTAACCTAAACAGAGTTCCAGAGTTTTTACCAACATTTCGGGAGTGCTGAGATTCCAGCTTCCCACTTGTCAAAGCCCATTTAGGCTTCATTTTAAGCCTGAAAAATTGGCATCACACAGTCGGCCGGCGACACTTTTTATTTAGGTTATAATGTAGCCTAGAACATTAGGCCTAGGCCTGTACAACTTCAGCAAAGTATCTTATACCTACATATATAATGATCTATAGTTTCATTTTCTTGTTCAATGGTTGTTTTTATTGAGAATTATTAGAAAAAAAAAAAAAAAACTGGTACGCCTTCCAACTTCGAAACTTCAGTATTAATCGCCATAGAACATCGTCACACTTCTAGTGTTTACAAAGGTTTCGCGGAGTAACATATCCCAAACATTGCAAGTTGCTCCGATTGATGTAATATCCCAGCATTCTGATTGGTTTAAAACTTGCAATGGACTCAACATACCTTACTCACCAGCCGGTGTAGTCGGGCGCACACATGGTTTGGGATGTTACTCCGCGGAATATAGTTTCGTAATTGGAAGGCCGGCTACCTGTTAGTTCAATGTTGTTTTGTTGTTACGTTTTTTGTTGTTGTTGTCAAAACAAGAAACATTCCTTGTAGAATTATATATTTTTTATATATCTTATAGATTAAATTAACCAATTAATTCAATTGTTGCACTTTATTAATTCCACGTTTAAAATTTAATCTTTAAATATTCATTTAAAAAAATTAAAAAATCAGGTCGCAAATGCGACCAAATAACCCTTAATTTCAAGTCCTGTGCCATGTTGATGATGAATCATGCTAAAAGGCACTTTACACGATAAAAATAGCAAAAATACAATGTATAATATGGCCTAAATAATTAAAATGGCCTATAATAATTGTTAATATACTGTATGAAATAAATCTCATACTACGTCAAATTAAACTAGCTTACTTTTAGTTTTGTGATCTCCTCATGTAGCACCTCGGCTTCTTTTTCTTTCTTCTCCATAGTATCTTCATATTGTAGACGTCTTGCCTTTTCAGATATAAGTTTCTAAAAAATTAAACAATATACTATTAAATTACATGATTTAAGTCTTCAGGTAATTGTATTATAATGGGAAGGATTTTCTGGGTTTTTTTACCTATAATTGTGTGTTACATAAGTAAGATTATTATATTATCAAATTTGTTATTACATTTTAATTCCCATCAGAGCTGAAGACTCCTGATAATCATTATTTTCCTTGAGAAAGAGTATTTGAGTTTACGAATTTAAGCTTAGAAAATAATTCCTTAGTCAAAACAGATATGGTTGGCCTAAGCAAACTACTTAAGCCTATTTTAAAATTGTCTTGTAGTTTTCAATCATTTACTACCCAATTCACAAGGATTCAATATCATTTTCATTGGTGTACACTTGAATTGTGCACAGAATGGACAAACTGCTTGACAACACAAGTTGCACTTGTTGCCATTTACACTAATCATAACTCTGGAGTTCAAGTCCAGGTCTTGAAAAATTCAGGGTTGTGTGTAGAGTTTTGCTAGCAGTGTAAAAAGGGTATGGGGCAAGTCGAATGGCCAAGCGGTTAAGGCAGGGGCGCAGCAACCTACAGCCATAATATCAGCTCTGGTTCAGAAGGCACACTTGCCTTTGGTTCTCGTGGTAGAACAAGTCTTCTCGGATAAGGACTATAAACCGTAGGCCCAGTGCATAATAACTCGTGTGCACTATAAGAACCCAGTACATAATATGAGACGAATAGGGGGATACCCCGTCGTACTGGTACAAACAGCACCTGTGGTGAAAGATGAGAGTTGCTGGTAGCGGGTAGCACAGACATGCTGGAACCCTTAGGGGCGAAGAAAGTCAATTGATTGAGTTACTAGTCCACATATCAAGTGTTATGACCATCTTATTTGATGGATACTGGCACTATAATACAAATGTACACTATTATTATTATAAGACTAACGTAGGACAAATATTTTATATATCAGTGAAACTTTCGTTAGGAACATGAATAAATGAAATCATATTATGCTCTTCAAATCCCAGGAATTTCTCCCTCCCCAGCAAGCTTTTAAAAGCTAACTTTTTTCTGCATATATCTGAGTGGTATAAAAAGTACAAACCTCATTATCTTTCTTTACTTTCCTAATATGTTCTTTAGTTAAAATTTTTGAAGCATCTTCTTTTACTTTTTCAAAAAATAAAGAATCTGCTTCCACCTGCAATATAAAATAAAGAACATTAAAATTTGTTTTTAACTTAAAATAATATTGACAAAAAATATTAGGAAGCTATAGATCAGGGGTACTCAACTGGCAGCCCACAGCATTTTTTGGCCTGCGAGTGCATGTCATCAGGAAAGTAAGAACAAGCCTACAATAATTGGGCATTTCATGTTATTATTACCATTTTTTTCATGTGGCTACACCTAGGTCACTTTGCGACCTTCCAGGATCATTGGACTTTCAAATTGATTCAATCTACAAACTTGACTGATGTTCAATGAGAACCCTTGCTATAGATGCTTTATGTTTCATTACATACTGTATGATGTCTTTCACATTCAAACATGTGCAATACAAAACTTTATCTGAAAGACTATACACTATAATTATTATCTGAAAAAATTCAGGAGTGGAATTACTTTCATAATCATCGTCAATTCTAATAATATTATCACGATTGTTACTATTATTACCTGAGCAGGCAGCTGTATATGATCTATGTTAGTTGAAGTAGGTTCAGGAGGCTTCTGGAACTCCTGCAGTGAGATGGGATGTGGCTTCTCTTTGCCTTGCTTCTTCTTTACCTTCTTGTTTACTTGAGAATCCTGAATGTCATCGACATCCTGCACTGCTTCAAGAAACTAAACAATTCAACATAAAGTCAAAATATATTCTGTATGTGTTATTACATTATCATTATTGTTAACAGTCACACTTGAACATTTACAAATAGTGTTAAAAAGTAATATATCATAACTAAAGAAAGTAGGCTGGCGTTTGATATACATCTAAAGCAGGGGCGGATTTAGGGGGGGTGGCCTAGCCCCGGCCCGCTCCTTTTGGGAGGTCAAAAAAAGAAAAAAAATGAAAAAAAAGAAAGAAACAGAAAAAAATGATAGCCCACAACTACTCAAATGTTATTTTCGGGCGTCTAGAACACAAAAATTTCGTGGGGGCATGTCCCCGGACCCCCTAGGACATTGTTGTCTCGATCGGCCCCTTTTGGATATCTCTGGATCCGCCCCTGTAAAGTTCCATGGTTCATTGTCATTCCAAATACGAGAGAACAGCATTAACACTTTCAGGTAAATGCGAACAGTACTTTACATCATTATTACGCTGGCAGGCGGATTTTGCATGCTAACAGAGTCATTGTACAGCCAATGCCACCTTCGCAATAAATGCAACTTTGTGAAGGTCTCTTAAAGATTAAATGTGAAGCATCTGTGACAAGTCTAACCAAAACAGTTTAATTACCACTGAGAAGGAATATTTTGATGTCAAATTTGCCAGGGGTTTTTGTATTTGAATATTTGTGAACTGAAAATTGGATGTTTTAAAATGTTGGAAAAACAGTATTCTTCCAGGGCTGTTGCAGCTATGCTGGACAATGATGAGACTTAGGAACTGACATAAAAGACCATGCAGTAGGCTTAGCTAGGCCTAGGTAGCAGAAGGATAAGCCTGGTTATTTTTCTTGGGCACGACTTAAACTTAGCACAGTTTGGGTGTAACATTACCAAGGAGAACTTTATTACCAAGGTATAAGGTTTAGTTTTAACAAAAAAATATTCCAATCTGAATAGGGGTAGTGACAACTTCACTCCACAGACATACCTTCTGTTGATGCTCATATGCTAGTTGACTTTGCAAGATAGCTTCATGAAGGTCTTTGGCAAATTGGTCTTCTGTTTGCTGAATAATTTTGAATAGAAAATATTATAAATATACTTATATTTATTACCAGTCAATTCAAGAGTCCGCAAAAGAATAATATTTATGTGAATGCAAACATAAAGTATTTAATTGTTAATTTATTTAGCTCAACAACACACACAGTATAATATTATTAGAGGCAACTGGGTCATAACATGGAGCTATTATTGAGAAGTAGATCACTCGAAAAAGCTCCGCACACGCAGTGCTATGCAAATGAGCCATGTACAAGGCGGCCGCAGCTCATGAAGGGCGTTTGCGCGATGTTTTTTGAAGTCTAATGTGTTCCCCGCCACCAAATGCTCAGCAGGCTTAGTTTACCAAAAAATTGAACATTGCGAAATGGAGAACACCTTCTTTTCTCAACGCGCACCAGTTACAGTCTATCACTGTGGCTGCGCAATCGTTTTCACCTTAAAGCTAATACATTTATCTTTCAAGAAATACCAAACATATTAATATTTCTACAAAAAAGAGTTTCAAATTTAATGAAACATTTACATGAGCTTTAAAAGTATGGTACATTTCAAATTAAATTTCTATAAATTGGATGAAACTCGATAGTTCTAATTTTAACAGATATTAATTAAAGAATGGTTGAGGATTATAATAAATTAATTCGTTCTAGTGTGAACGAGTGTCGACTATTCGAAAATTCAATCCAAAAATCACAGTAATTTTCAGTTTTACACTGCCTTAGCTTTATAGACGAACCAATCGATCTTTAGATAAAAGAAATTGTAACGGAAATATTTTGCGGAATCCGTTTATGAAATATAAACATAACAACATACTAAAAGTCTGAAAAAATCCAATCAGGGGAACATTGTTAATTCTAAAGATATTTAATGAGTTAAAATCAATCAGTTTATCGCACAACTGCCGTGTTGAAGAGTATAAAAGCATGTCGTTTCCAAGTTGTTGCTAACAAAAAAAATGTTAATAAGATACACGCCCATGCGGCAGGGAACACATTGGTTTGACGCGTCAAAGGGATCTGTTAGCGAGCGATCTCCTCTTCAATAATACCTCCATTGTCATAACCAATAAAATGTGGGTAGAATAAGCAAATAGGTAATATCAATCACTGCTCAGTGTTTTGCATTTGATAAATTGGGTCAGAAATTACTTGTAATTAATATACTAAATTGAACTGCTGATTTGATTAAATTATTATTTTTTATGTTCTTAGTTTACCATGTTTATGTTTTTCAATGATTATATTGTTAATGTGTTATTTATCATATTAAACAAGTATTTATAAAATAATATCTGATGCAATATAGAGTTTCATTTAAACTGAAATATATTGGCTGGCTGGCTTTCATGGCCTTCACCAAACAAAATATTAGCCAGTGACCAAAGATCTTACACTGCGGTTGTCATACACTGTACAAAAAAGCCAATCAAACCAAAGATGGACGTAGTTACATTTTCGTCCCTTTCCTTCCAAGAGTCCCACTGTTGAGTAGTCACTTTAGGGTTGTCCCCAGAGATTTGATGAAAGTTATTTCCATTACTCTGGGTTGAAGATACCACCACTGACTGAACGGCTGGTTTACAATTTACGCTTGGTATCTTTCCAAAAGCAATATCTCTTATCTGTAGATATTTATACAACAAAATAAAGGTTATTACTGTATAATGATTTAAATAACCAATTAAATCATACAATACAGAGCATGGTCTATTTTTAAGCCTGGATTAGCTTTGTCGCAATGGGACTCAAATGCTGAGTGAATTATTGCAGAGTGGAAATTCAATGGGTAGGAGAATTCAGTGAATATGCAGTGAAATTGCAAGGCAAAACTGAATCTATAATTAATTATAATTATAATTAATTAATCATTCAAATTCAAGTTCAGTTTATTCACATAATGCATCATCAGTAATTACAAGACGCAATATATATTTTTTTTATTTAGAATTTTCAAAGTATACATTTACATGACAATTAATTAAAGGAAAATGGTGGGGGTGGTTTCCCATCCACTATACACCCCCATTGCTAAATCATAGATCCGCCACTGCAACCATATACCTTAAGGATAGCCTCCAGCATACCATAGCTGGGCCTATCCTAGGACGCCTTAGACTGCCCAATGCAATGCCTAGGCCCTCTAGCTTAGCTTAGCCTACCCTAGCTAAGGCTAGTTAGGGCCTAGGCCTGGCTAGCCTACTCACTTACCTCAGCCTTCTCTTGCCTCTTCTTTTTTCTCCTTGCACGTTTTTTCTGGTTTACATTCTGATTATCCACTGATTTTGGATTCTGGTCTATTTTCTCTGACTGATCTTCATTGTCAGACAAACTTTCGACTTGTAAGCAAGTGAAATTGTTAGGTCGAAGCGATTTTGATGACATCTTTCGGAATTGTTTATATGGGGTTTTTTTCAAAGTGTGGTTGTGGATGTTGTTGTTGTTGTGTTCGATGTCTCCCCCTCTTGTTCGAATTTTTAAGAGAGGGCGCTGTGCCAGTTTTCTTTTTATTTTCAATATCTCAATAAGCATACTGATATACTGTAACAAGCCAATTTTCAATACAAACCATGGCTTGCATTTACGAGTATAAAGTAACTATAAACCAAAATAATACTGTATGCGTACATCTTTACAGTTGAACAAAACCAAAATGTAGGTTCCAAAAACTATAAAATAGGCCTAATTCAATATTTTAAGAGAATGAATATAAGCTGATGAACACAGAGACATGATAATGATTATGAGAACAAATATTTATATGTAATTAAAATAGGCCTAATAACAATAACACAATAGCAGGCGGTAACCTTAACAACAGCATGATGACGATGATGATAATTTTGATCATTAACCATTATTATAATAAATCGTTAGGCATGAAAACAGCGAGCTCTTGTCAAGGACATTGGTTATCGGAGGCGTGCTCCCCCATATATGCAGACCATGCTAGTCTGTAAGATGGTAAGATCATGGTGGTAAGATCCAATTGAGTTAACGTCCTTCAAACGCGATGGAAATCCTCCTTCCGGCAATTACTTCCCCTCCTTGTACAAGTGTTTCCCAATAGGTTTTAACCATAGGTCTACGGTATTCTTGGCTCTAACAAGTTCTTTATTCGTAAGTCTATTGCAAGTAGGCCTACTTGAAGGTTTAGAGAGATAAAAACCATTTTTAAGCACGTTCCGTAAGTAAATATTGTTTATTGCTTGAAAAGAAGTTAATTTTTAAATATAAACATTCAAGTATTAAAGTAATGTTAACTTCCATACTATTCATACATTCCAGCACTAATACATTAGTTCTATAGCACACAGTAGGCCTACGATTTTATAGGGAACGATGACGAATTAGACGGTTTTTTAATATAGAGTATTGCCAATGAGCATGTTTCTTAATTTCGGAGCATTAGATAGGCTTACACCCATTATACTTACACTAGCACAGCCTTGATGGTTTTTAATTCGGTTTGGTTCTTTCAGGGAACAGTGAACCCTGGTTCTCTGAATCAACTGCAATAGCTTTTGCATCATAAAGACGATTATTCAGTAATTGATTTTCAACATGATACATGTTTCTTTGCTTTATCTTATGATCTTGTATTTGTTTTTTTAATATTTACCTAATAATAGGATGATGGAGTCATTTTCTTTGAGTTTGAATCATCTTCTTATCATTTTTGTCCTCATTACATTTCCAATTGGTCATGATGCTGGGAAGTGCTGTTATTACTTGGCAAATTGTAAGTATAATAATTACGATGACTTATGGCCGCTTATTAGACCAACGAAGGAATAATCCATGATTTTTTTAGAAGTAAATTAATTAAAGGCAAGAAACCAAGAGTGGAATTTAATAGTAACAGGAACGCTTGTACACATTTTGTTTTGTCTCCATAGATGACGTTAACGATATTAAAGTCGTTAACAGAGTCGAAAAAACTGATGAAAGGAATACCTCAAATAGATGGAATTTGTTAACAAACATCAGTTGGGCGGCACCGGGTAAGTCGTTGGTAGCAATGAATGTGACGTCACTTAACTTCCTCAAACATTTTCTGCTTAGTTTTACTAGAATACAGTGAATAATATTCATTTGACGGCCCTATATAATCGCATTCTTTATTGCATGCTACAGGAGGCATTTGTAAAGATTTGTTAAAGTTGGGCAAAGTACTTCATTAAGATTAGATACACTTTCTTATTAAAACTACCATTATACAATTTAGTTTACAAAGTTTTGACACAAACCGGCTCCAAAAGTGTAACTGCTGTACTCGCACGAACAGGCCGGGGGGGGGGGGGGGGGGGGGGTGCAGGGGATGCGGACGCACCCCACCCCCCAAATTCAAAAAGTTCTATTTTTTAAAACCTATGATTTCACAAAATCGTTCCTAATTATCATAAAATGCTATAGCATGCATTGCATATTTGTTAGCTTATCTAACCATTGATTTTTAATAATGTGGTATGAAATTTGTTAGAAATTGATCGTCTTCGGTGATTGCAGATTGATTTATATAATATGAAGCATGTTATCTATAGGCCTGCAGATATACAGGACATAATTATAGGCCTAACGTTACTTTTTCAGGTCCCAAAAAACACCCAAATTAATGAAAATTTAAAATAAATATTAATTATGTGTTTAAGAAATCTATTGTAAGACCCTCAAAATGCTACATTGTCGCTTTTCTCACAACCCCCTCCAGGCCTCTGCCCCTGGACCACAAAATTTTCAAAAAGTCCACTTTTTAAAACCTATTATTTCACTAAAATCGTTCCAAATTATCGCGAAATGCTATATGCATTACATTTTTTTGCTCGCTCTTCTATCCGTTGATTTTTAATAATGTGCTACAAAATCTGTTGGAAACTATCAGCTCCAGTGATTGCATATTGATCCATGTCATCTGTAGGCCTACAGATGTAAAGAACATGAAAAATTACAATTTCACAGTGGTGGATTCAAGGGGGAAGAGCCCCGCCCCCTAAAATTATTTAAAAAATGGAGAAAAAAGAAAAATCATGGAAGTTTGTTTGAGAGTGCCATTTCCGGCCATTTTGAGGTGCCATAATCATAAATTTTCTTACCTCAGCCCCAACCATGGTGGGGTTGAGGTGATATTGACCATTATGTCTGAACTCCCTCCACCCCCACCCACTATTACTCCTGCTTTACTGTATGTCCCTAGACAATACTCAAATGAATGGAAAATTTAAATAGGATATTACAAATTATAGATTTTAGAAATCCATTAAAAAGGCCCTCAAAATGCTGATTTGTCAGAGCTTCCAGAAGATTCGCCCCACCCTCGCGGGGATCCCTAGGCAATACTCAAATGAATGGAAAATTTAAATAGGATATTACAAATTATAGATTTTAGAAATCCATTAAAAAAAGGCCCTCAAAATGCTGATTTGTCAGAGCTTCCAGAAGATTCGCCCCACCCTCGCGGGGATCCCTAGGCAGTCGCCCATCGTAAGGTCCACTTCGGTTGCAAAACGCACCTCCCCATCAAAAATCCTGCCTACGGGCCTGACGAATAAGGGCCCGGGCGCATGAAATACTTTTGCACTTTTTGAGGGGTGCTTATTCAAACGGGGCGCTTATGAAAACAGAGTGGAAATTGAGGGGGCGCTTATGGAAATAGATGAAAATCGAGGGGTTCTTATGAGAACTTATTAAATTCTAAGAGGCACTTTTTGAATGAAAAACGATATGTAAGGACATCGGAAAACCGAAAAGTACGAATGGTGGTGCGGCGAAAAAGATAATCGTCCAGAGAGCATGGCTCGTAGTCAGGCGTGGCGCTAGGATTTGCCCGACGGGGTGGGGAGGGGGGCCAAGGTCCTGTCTCTTATACACATCTAGATGTGTATAAGAGACAGGCACATGGATGATCGCACTTGATCCAAAATCTTTTTATGTTTTCTAGTGCTGCCATTGAGTACTGCACTGATCTTTTATTTTACATTACAAGATTTTAAATTTTTTTAAATTTAAAGACTTGATATAAAAAGTCTGCTATTGAACTAGTAGGCCTAAATATTCAATCTACACACACACAGACCTTTGAATCATACGACATTGAAAGATATGCTATCGACGTAGAAGAGTTAAAGAGCAACAACCAGTTACAAAAAGTTGGAGATGGAAATTGTAGCTACTGTCCTCTCCTGGAGACAGATATTGTCACGGTAATTTTCATCCAGCATGACACACCCACAACAAACATATGTAAATTATCAAAATATAATTTACTTTTAGTATATTATTTTGTTAAAACACAGATCCTATATACATATATACGTATATGTATATGATCTGTGGTTAAAATAAACAACTCTTGGATTTTTTTTTTAATATTAGAAAGAGATAATTTATTTTTCCAGAGTACATGTATAAAACAATTTATATAAAAGTATTCTTTGCATCAGTTTAAGGATTTTCGCAGCAAAAATTCAGTGAACCAAAACAACTCTGTTCGATCAGTGCTCAATGAAGGCAATGCGTAATTGCATCTTTCTAAGGGTTTACAGATTTTTATATTTATTTTGCCCAATATCATTATATTTTTTTTTATATCTTACAATATAACAATACAAAAAAATATTTACGACAAATTTAAATTCGTGAGAAATAAACATAATTAAACTAATAAGCAACATAATTGAAGTATGGTTTCTTACCAACCACGTAAAGTTGAATAAACGGGACAAGGTCGACGCGCGCTTAAAAGTAAGACTGTTGTAACCACTCTGCAACCACATCCTGTCTTGTTATATTTATGTTAACATTTCTATCAATACATTCATGTTGTTACAGAGTTGGGTAAGCCTTTTCAGGGTTATTATCGACATTGTTTTACATTGTTCATTCTTAGCCAGTCCGACCCTCTTATTGTTATTGATTCAGTGTCAGTCGTAGTGGTAATAATAATATGTATATGAACAAATTTTATTACTAACCCACTGCACTACTCAGTCAGTGGGTGAGTAATAAAATTTGTTCATATACTTATTATTTCCACTACGACTGACACTAAATCAATAACAATAACTTTTCTGTGGTATTCCTAAAGTCGAAACTTCCGAAATATAAAATGCAATAAACCATCGAATATGACTAAAGAAATGTTATCAACTTGAGACAGCTCGAAATTATTCGATGAGTTTTTGTTGATTTATAAGTTGTTACTAATGAAAATCGATTACGGATACCAATCCAATTTAAAGGTCAACTGAATGGAGTGTCAATCAGCCTTACAAACTGACCAATCAGGACAGGACTAGGAATACGCACTTGTCCACAAATGCACGTGTTTACGTAAATGCCGTTTGTGGGGACCATAGCAACAGTATCCAAGAAGCGGGCTTAGCGAAAAGGTCCATTATCATTCTGTTAATATCTCCTTGGTTATACCTAGGTTAAGACAGCGTAAGGACGTTCTGTGCATAATACACGTCTGCGCAATTCGAATTATATCGACTCGATTTTTGAAGTGTGAACATATGCCATCCAATCAGATGAATATTTCAATATTATGTAGGCCCGTAATCAAATAAAAAGAGAGAGAGAGTGAAATTGCAATTATTTCATGACAAGTAAGTTAGCAAGTGGACCAATTAATCATAAATAAAATATATTATATACCGGTATATAATTATAGTGGGAAAATATACATGTATATTCCTATTGTAGTAATATTGGGCAAAATTCATGTAGCAATGAATCATGAATCAGATTGATATGTGTGTTTGGTTGATCGTTGAGATTCATAATTGAATAGGGTCTATATTTATTGTTAACCATAGACTTTGCTTCTTTTTCAGTATTCTCTTTGGCATGTATTTCGTGACTTGTGGTTTGGCACTAAATACGTATTTTCTGTGAGTTCCATGAATATTTAAGAACGAAACATGACATAATTAGTATCTACTTAGGCCTACGTAAGGGTTTACCGTTATGTCGCATTTCATTTTATTATTCATTTCATTTCCAGATACATTTCGTTAGAACAAACTCATCCCATAAAGGTGTATTTGACTTCAAGGCTACTTTCAATACACCAGGTAGGTTCAAGAATGCACAGTATGTTTACAGTAGTAGTAATAACAATATTAATGATTTAAAAACAAATTATGATGATTATAATGACAATGACGATGGTGATAACGATGTTTCTTCAAAATATATTACTACGCTTCAGTGGCGGCGCTAGCGGGGGGGGGGTTTCTTTTCCCCAGTTTTCTCCCCCCCCCCAACAAAAAAAAAATCACAATTCGTCGGGGAGAAAAGAATGATATGTATTTTCTACATATTAGTAGACTATAAAATCGATTAGGGCAAAATTCATGTAGCAATGAATCATGAATCAGATTGATATGTGTGTTTGGTTGATCGTTGAGATTCATAACTGAAAGGGCCTATATTTATTGTTAACCATAGACTTTGCTTCTTTTTCAGTATTCTCTTTGGCACGTATTTCGTGACTTGTGGTTTGGCACTAAATACGTATTTTCTGTGAGTTCCATGAATATTTAAGAACGAAACATGACATAATTAGTATCTACTTAGGCCTACGTAAGGGTTTACCGTTATGTCGCATTTCATTTTATTATTCATTTCATTTCCAGATACATTTCGTTAGAACAAACTCATCCCATAAAGGTGTATTTGACTTCAAGGCTACTTTCAATACACCAGGTAGGTTCAAGAATGCACAGTATGTTTACAATAGTAGTAATAAAAATATTAATGATTTAAAAACAAATTATGATGATTATAATGACAATGACGATGGTGATAATGATGTTTCTTCAAAATATATTACTACGCTTCAGTGGCGGCGCTAGCGGGGGGGGGGGTTTCTTTTCCCCAGTTTTCTCCCCCCCCCCAACAAAAAAAAATCACAATTCGTCGGGGAGAAAAGAATGATATGTATTTTCTACATATTAGTAGACTATAAAATCGATTAAATAAGCCTCTGAAACCCATGAAGTGTTCGGGGGTTCGCATCCTGGACAACTTTTAAGACATTTTCAGCGACGTCCGACCACGCCCACTTCTGGCCATCCCAGCATATTTCCCCCTAAAATGTTGCCTTGCCACCCAGCCCCCGATTTCAGATGCTGTCGCTGCCATTGCTACGCTTAGAAGCCTAGTGACGATGACGATAATAATAACGTCGATGATAATATCTGCAATTTTGTTCCAGACTGTTTTGTTGCAACACAAGACGGAGATTATTGTCAAAAACAAAGTGAGTTATTGTATTTTCTTAGATTTAATTTTCACTTTAGCATTAGTTATATAGGCCCAATTATTATTGGGTTATGCTACTATTGCGACCATTCATTATAGTTTTTATACAGATGTACAGATATCTGGGCTGATAATAGACCTCCGGTTGGATGACGTAGTACCGCAAGATGATGGATATGCGACTGCTATAATATCATGGATACCACCTGTCCAGGTTCGAAGAGACAGCGAACTAGTGGCCTTTACTGCTACGTATCAGACATTAACAAAATACACGAAAACTGTTCTCAACTTAAAGGTAAGACATTTGCTATGTGATATTAACACAACTTGATTACAAGTTTCCAAAGGTTGTCTTACTTCCTTCTATAGAAAATAAATATTAAGTGGAAAACCTGGCGAATCTTGTTTTGCCGGGTGTCCCAGGCGATATAATTATGTCCTGCCATGGTCCGAGAGGGATGGTTTTAGTGTTCGCCCTTACACTGGATGCTTTTTATTTTCAGCCATTTTAAGCTATATATAAATGATTTAACACTTGTTTAGTGTTTGTTCCGGAGGACGAGCTCGCCTTTTCACCAAAGTCCTGAATCCGAAACTGGGCTTGACAGTGACTTTGCAGTATTAACGCAATAGGCCTCAAACAAATATCAGGATAATTATAAATAGTGTCCGTGATTAATTTTCTTTTTCAGGCCCAAAATCAGACAAATTGGCGGGAACGACAGGTGACAGAACTTTCAGGGCTACTATTAAATGAAACCTATCGATTATACGTAAGTTGTCCCGTTGTATGATTTAAAATATAATCCAATTGAAATTGCTTGACACACTACGACTGACACTAAATCAATCTTCTTTTAAGATTCAACCTATGGTTAAACTTAAAGTTGGTTCACTTCTAAAAAATGGAACTGCGTCTGAGATCAAGTTTGAGACTTTTATAGGTGAGTACCGATATGAATTCATTTTACTCAGTGTTAATTATTTAATTTCCAGATTTTTTTTCATTTCGTTATTAACTCGACGAAAGTTATTTCTCTCCTTAATCCTGGATCTTTGTCCACTACAATCGGTATCGGTCAGGGGTGGCACCAGTGCCTCTCCATCGTCGGGGAGAGCTGCCCCCCTCCCTATCTTCGGGGAGAAAGCCCACAATTCTTTGGGGAAAAATTGTATGTATTTTCTACATATGCCTATAGAAGACTCTAAAGTCTATTAAATAAGCCTTTTAAACCCATATTGTCATTATAAGTGGACCACTCGAAAGATTTTAAGCAATGCCCGACCGCGCCCTCTTTGGTCTCGTCGGAGATATCGGTCCCCATCGGGAGCTACGGCATCCCCCACCCCCGTCGGTCAACACCTGACGCCAGCCCTGGTATCAGTATGAAAATACATCACAATATATTTTTATTTTCACCATGAACTACAGGATATGCATTACCGGTACTAGGCCTACTGGTAAGATTCTATATACCTGGGATAAATGTTGTTTGCTTGATTTATAACGAATTGGTGTACTTTTCAAACACTCATTGAAATGCTGTTCATCAATAGAATTTGGAGAATGGACGGACTGGAGACCCTCTGGTCCTTGCCCGTGCAATGGTTTCATAAACTACACACGTTCTTGTCAGCCACAGGAGCTTTATTGTCAAGGAAACGATGTCGAGGAAAGAGCATGTCAAATTAGTGATAAGTGCAGCAAGTTAACAGGTTAGTTTGTATACCTAACTAACTCTTACATAGGCCTATGTGATTCGATTAGGTACACGATAGCAATGGTAATTCCACGATAATTATAAGAATGTTTAATGTATGAAAATAATGTTAATTATTCAATAAATGCTGTTTTATCATCAGGTATGAAACAATACAGCATTTGGATAAAATATGTTGCGATGGTGCGAAATATTCAGCCTTATTTAAAAGATTAATGAAGTTTATTTATTTACGGCATTTATTAAACATATTTAGGAAAAATAACATACATCGAGATGGTAACGCTGTTTTACAATATGGTTCTGCAAAGATAAAGTACTATATACAACATTAATTAAAAAACAATAATATATTATATTGTCTTGCATATATATTACAAGGACAAACATGATTTACCGTAACTATACTGATTTTTTTCAATTAAAATCGGATCGATGCTATAGATGATATAAACAATTAGTAATAGGCCTAATACTTCGTTCATTTGTAGAAAATATTTGGCTAAATGTTGTAGTACTGTAGACCTAATAAATTATACAGGTAATTTTTACTGTTTTATTTTCAGAAAAAGCTATCATCATTGCAGGAGCTATACTGATAATTATATTTATACTTTTAATTGCTGCGTTCGTTCTTAAAAGATACAGATACGGCAGCCATAGTACGAGTTACAATGGTACGGTCATACTTTTTCATATCAAATTATATTGGCTTTTGAATCAGGTCTCTAAACGTTTATTTTAATATTTATCGTTTGGTATACCGTATTTTATAGGCCAACATTTTTTTCAATATGAAAAACAAACATCAATACTGTATTATGTAGCTTGGGTACGTGTTTTTTTTACGACAATCAATCAATCAATATTAAAGAGAATAACGCAACTACATTTTTTTATCAAATAAAGCAATCAAGTTCACGATTAGTAGGCATATACTTTACCTATATGGTACCTATATTTTTTCTAATAAAATATCTATCAATATAATTTAAGGACAACACATATATTTTTGGGATACTTTTAGTGGACCCAGCCTTCAAGGACCATGAAATATGCTTGCACACACATGTGGTTTGGGATGAGAGAAAACCGATAGGTAATGGCCGATTTGGAATGGTTTATTCATGTCCATTAATTGAACAGGACGGGCGTGGTCGCCGTAAACTTGTTGCAATAAAAACACCTTTAGGTAAGTACAGTAGTGCAGATAAGACAATTCACGCATGTTTAACAGTTCACGTGGTGATGTGAAAGTTGTATTGACTTAAAATTGTAATTATTTGTTATTTTGTGAGGCATTTCCTGTTATATATTTCTGTAGTCCTACCTTATAGGTGATGTATATAGGCCTAATTGTAATACTGATGGGCCTATTTAATACATGGAATTTTAAATGAAAATTGTTTTGATTTTAATAAGATCTATTATAGGCCTAATCATATTAATATTGTTTGTGGAATAACCTGGTAAATTTCGCTCTAATATTTAGAAACGGCATCCGCAGCTGAAAAAATGGATTTTAAGAAAGAGATTCAACTCATGTCACAGATCGGCAAACATAATAATGTTATTGAACTCATTGGATGTCGCACAACAGAAGATCCGATGTACATCATCACTCCATTGATGCAATATGGATGTCTATTGGAATTATTGCGTAAAAGTTCAAAGGTGATTTACATCTCTCTTTGCTTACAACGACCATTAGTAATGTGTTTGTTTATACAATAGGTCTATGTTTAATGCCTTTTTTGTCTTGATCCAAGTGTCAGCTACGACAGTCCCACTATCCGTGTTTATGGAAATGCATTGTATGTAATTTGTCTACATTTTAGAATTTTACCTGAAGTATTAGGTACCTGGTTTATCGTAATCGTTTGAATAATGTTCAAACTTGGAATTTTGTGCGCTGTAAGTTTGGAACGATTTAAAAGTGGAAAATGCTATTAAAAAATTGATAATCATCAGTAGGCATACGTTCTAAATATTAGGTATGAAGTTATAAAAATGACTAAACGCAAGATAATTTTTATAACTTTATATTTAATATTTAGTTATAAAAAAATGACTAAACACAAGATCAGTCATATATAAACTAACTTTAGGGTTATTTATATTTTATTTAGATGAAGAAAGATGGTGTGTATACCGAAGCGATTTATGATTTGAAGCTCAAAGATCTGTTTAGCATCGGTAGACAAATTGCCATAGGAATGGTTAGTTTATAAACAAATACCAGCTGTGATAAACTAAATAACTTGAACAACAAAATGCAATATATAATTGTTTAATTAAGGAACTTTCAAATTGAAAAAAAAAATAGAACAAACAAGTATCTCCTCGCCAAGTATCAGAAAATATACCGTTCTTATTACTTTGCAATGCCCTTAACATTGTTATTAAAAACTACTAACTCTATAGACCTATAGAAAAAAACTGTAACTCCGCCATAATAAATTGTTTTGATCTATATCACAATTGAAGACAATAAGTTAGTAATATTCTTTTTAATGAGCAATTCGATATTCACCAATGAGGGATTTTTCCGATTTTCACAGATAAAAATGATTTTTAAACAGCTGGCCTAACGCTCAATACAGTAGTGTGTTCTTTTCTGGCTAAGACTACTGTAATTATTTCAGTTAAGCGAATAACACAAACAAAATGGAAATACAAACACGTATACGAGTATCTTATTAAAAAAACTTAAGCATATTATTATATACACATATATTATATTCATCTGCTGTTCAGGCCTACAAGTGCTTATGGGTACGAAAGTACATTTGAAAATACATTTGAAACGAAATATTTTATTTTTATTGATATTTATAACAATAATTGATATTCTTTCTTAAGCTAAATTCACATCGGATCCTAACCAAAATTCGGATCGCGTTTCCGAAGCGCTGAACGCCAGCGTTCCAATTCGTACACTGATTCGATTTTCTGAACGCTTCGGTAGGCTTTCCGATCCGAAAACTCGGATTCGAATTCGATGTGAATGCAACTCCTTTATGCTTACCGTTTTACATTTTAGATTTTGATATGTTGTATTTTGAATTATATTTACATCCTTTAATTAGTGTTTTACGCTGTTATATGCAATAAAGAAAACATTTACTGTATGTCATTTAGGAGTACATTTCCAGCTTAAAGATTGTTCATGGGGATCTAGCTGCGCGAAACATTTTAATTGGCGAAGGTCTAGTTGCCAAGATAGGTGATTTTGGCTTGGGACAAGATGCGTACGAGAAGGGATACTTACGATTAAAAGACGGAGAAGTTCCAGTGAAATGGTACAGTCTGGAAACGCTCACAGAACAGTTTATGACTCCAATGAGTGACGTGTAAGTTTGGAGTGTTCTAATCTAAGTTGAAATGTTATATGATGTTAGACAAGTAATTTCTATTTGTTAGTTTCTGTTGCTGTTTCTCTCACAACATCTTCAGGTCATCGTCGATTTTGATATTATTATCTTTATCTTATCTTTATCTTTTCTTTAGTGGTTGTCTGCCGGAAGGAATCGGGGAAGGAATACAATTTAAAAAATTAATACAGTAAACAAATATTAATTTATACCATACACTTAATGATAACATCAATACCACAATAATGTTTACCATTTCTTAATTGGAAAATGCAAAATACATGACAGAATTACAGGTAAACAATGCTACCAAAGCTATCAGTACAGGCTACAGTATCTAAATGCGCTTGCTTGTCCACCATTAGGGCTGTTTACACTATGACGATAACTATCGACGATAAAAAGCTGAAAAGCTTCATATAGAATATGACGTCATTAGACTTGCGAAATATTTTTTGACACATACACGATAAATCGTTATCGAATCGTGCTAGTTTGAAAACTTCCCTTATTTTCTATATGAACAATTGCTTTTTATCGTTATCGTCATAGTGTAAACAGGCATTAAGACTGAACAGTTCTATACTCTTTGAACTGTGCGCGCGAGTAGGTCTGACGTATGCAACAGTTTTAGGCTATAGACTGTGTTTCCATGCTCAGCCAACTCGTGAACATGCAAATTAATTAGAAAGCAAACCTGCTGATAAGACAAAATTTGTAAATACAGTACTATGTCGAAATTTAACAAATTGGTGCGGCACGTTTCTCATACAAAATTGTAAGAATCAACAATACTCAATTATTCTTATACTGTAATCGTATGTAATTTATGAATTTGGTAATTCAAATTTGAGTCTTTCTTAACAGGACGCCAAAGACTTGGAGACTAACATGCACGACGAAGTGTGTAAACTAAAAAAAACTGACTTTGAATTAGGTGAGATGAAGCCCACACAAAAAGACAATGTGAGCGGCACAGAAGAAGCAAACGATGAAGAAGAAAGTACAGGCCAAACATTCAGCATAGCGGAATTCATTCCTTTGATGGAAACAAGTTCACAGGTATGAGGGACTTTACAATCAATCAACGTCTACAAATCCGCAGCAGACATGACGTGATACAAACATTCTCATGCAGTGGGGGTGCACGACCCCAGCCCAAAAAAATACCCTGCCCCTAGTCGTCTCCCTCTATTGAAAATGTTAAAAGCTAAAAAATCCCCCTCAGATAATTCACTTAAAATCACCATATTTTGCGAGCTAACACCCCTCGCATCATCGACCCCCCTTTTTTTAAGACTCCTATATACACCACTGTAAAATAACATATGTTGAGGCTTGCGGTACACCACGTAGGTAGTTAGAAAAGAACTGTTGTAGTTGAGAAAGTCTCGATGTTTCGATTGAGTTGCTTCAATCATCTTCAGGAGAATAATTTCTGCTGATCCACTGTAAAATAAGTTAATCTCTAGATTATTCTTAACTTTTATTTTCTAGTATGGTGATAAATCCAGCGGTTTGACGCAAGCTCTATCTCACTACGAATTCAACTCTCATACGGAAAGCATGGGTTTCAGTAGTGTTCGGGATGAAGCATTCATACCAGAATTCGAAAACAGTGGTGATAGTTGGTCGAATCTTTGATTTACGTCATCAGCACGACATTAAACGTTTTATATTTCTTGATTGTTCTGATTGGATTTTTTTTACCTTGCTGTTGTATTTGAAATAAAAAATGATTGAATTGAATTGAACTTTGTTGAAACAAAAAATGATTGAATTGAATTAAACTGTGCAGTAAATAAGTTATAATTTATAACAAATATCATAAGCATAATGCTTTCTGTTACTTTTTGTTTGTTTTGTAATGTACATACTTAAACCATGTTTTATGGTCAATTTGAATGCATTAATTTTACACTTTATAAACAAAATTTTAAACTTTGCAGATTTACATTAATTTCATTTTATAAGTCAGATACAATGTGGAGAGTTCCCTAAAGGTAAACTTATTTTCAGTTTTGAGCAATCTAGTTTTAATGACTTTTTAAGTGTTTGTATTTCAATCTTGTAATCATGTTTGTCATTGTATTCTAAATGTATGTTTGTCATTGACGAAAAAGATATATGATATCTACTCTATATATTTATGTAACTTCCAAAAATCGTAATGGTAAAACCATTAAAACTAACATATTTTGTCTAAATAAAATTTGTTTAAATATTATGCAGACCAACACATGTTAAAGCAGCTCTAATCACAGACAACTAACATACTACAAAATAAACTAAAGTTTTTTTTTATCGGAGGTGTAGTATATTGATTGGAAAAAATTGGTTATTCATTAAATACTACAGTATGGAATACAGTAGCTACTAACCTATAAAACATATTTTATTAGTTTATCAAATCCTAAATTTTTGTTGTTCCATGCTTACATTAGGTTATACTTTGTTATACATCGTAATATGTTAGAATACAATCCAGCAGCCTTTCAGACTAGACAGGTAAATTTAGAGCTGTTTACTTAGTTGAATATTATATGATCATGCAAATACTCATCTGTACTTACATTAAAAATGTTGCCAAATAAATTTTAAATATTGAATGATCAATCAAATACACTGTTGTTCAGATATTGCATTACTAAAATCAGTACAAGTAGTACTGAAGATGTAATTTAGGGGGAAAGTGTGGTGTGAAAGAGGGTAATCAATTAAGTAAATTTGATTTCTGATTTATATACACATACTGTAGGAAATAAGATGTTTACAAGACTAAAGCATGGTTTCCATACAATCGCTACATGCTATCACCGACAGCTTTCAGTGATGCTGATTAGTCAGTCGAATCGGGGAGTCTTTCCAATTGCGTTGGGGACTGCTATGCAGTGCAACTAATGTTACTTGCTAGCAATAATCAATTTAACGTTAACTCAATATTTGCATCTTATGAATATCTAAAGAATGTTAAAAATTACTTAAAGAATATGTTAATTCAATATGCCTTTTCAATGCTGAGCACAACTTCATGACATAAGATTGTAAAATAATCTATAGAGGATATGTTTTATTGACTCACAGATGTCATTTAATGACAATTATGTTTTTCTATACATGACAGAACCATAATGATATTTATTGTCCATTGTGGAATTAATCTCAAAAAATAAAGCACACACAGAAATAATAAACATTTAAATTGTACAGAATAAGAAAATATTTCAATATTAATATTTATAAAATCTAAAGTTAAAATACATAAACGCCTGTGCTTTATTCACAGTAATAATTGGCTGGCAAGCAAACAGGAAATGCATTCTTTACAACAAATTAAATTTAATTTACTATATATCGGTTGTATATACAGCAGCTGATACAATCAATAGTGGACATGCTTCTATTTCACCATGAAGGAAGTTGCACCACACATATTTCAGATATTTAGTGGCTGCTTTTCCACTTATACTTGCCAAATTGCACCAGGTGGCAGGCATATCATCAGTTGACCTCTTTCATACCCGTGGGCTGACCAACTAGTGTAGTTGTCTTGATAGAACAATGGTCTGTTAGTGATGTCTGCTGGTGGCATTTTAAATATCATCAGAAAAATATGAAAATGGTCATTTCCCGCCATCAGGGATGTCAAAGCACTGGTGAGGTCATCTGAATAATGGAAATGCAGGCTCTTTCTGCCACTGGGGACATCGTCTGGTAGCGTCTCATGTAGCTATATGCTCTCCAACCACTTGTTCTTTTAGATAATAGAACAGTTAGCTTTCACTCATGAAGCTGTCATTTGATAGCACCTCAAATGTCAATGAGTTGTCCAACTGCTGGCGATGGAGGGATGATGGAGGGATGTACATTACCTGCCAGCGGAGATACCATTTGGTCAATAGGAGAGTAATCATTCCCTAGCATTGGTGATGAAGGCATTAGGATTGAGTCATCACTTTCATCTGAAACATAATTACAATTTATTTTCAATAAAAAAAAACTAGACTGAACATTAATATTAATATATAAAAGAAGAAAAACAAGATACAGAAAAAGTGTTAAAATTTA